ACAGCCCTGAACGTTTTATCTCAAGGTGGAGAAACAGAATGGGAGACATCCTGTACAGAATACACAGAAATCCAACACTGGCATATCCCTGGCCTATAAAATACAGAAAATGGAAAATAAGGTCTACTTCACCCAGGCTTCAGCTTGCAATTGGTAGTTAGAATAGCAATGTGTACAGCAACAGTTTACAAAGCTTTGAACGACTTTGTTGAAACCCAAGGCTGTCTCTATGTTTTACATTGCAGAACACTCGCTAAAATATGCCTTACCGCAGAGCATGATAACATACAAATGTGTTGCATTGCCATTCATTTTGCAGCAACAATTATAATGTCATCCCAATTCACTGTTATAGTATCCAGAAGCACACCCGCACTAAAGCTCATCACAACGCTCATTCAAAATCAAAAATGCATCTTAACGCATAATAAGACACTCTGGTAATGCTGAAAACAAATAGTTTACAACATGTTATCATAATGCACCTAGTTAAGTCTTCAATGCACCTAGTCACAGCACATCCCAACTAGAGATGTAAAATTTCTGGAAATTTTTAAGCCATTGGGGAAAAAAAATGTTTTTTGTCCCTGTTTTTTTTCTGGAAAAAATGGAAATTTTCAGAAAACTTGAAAAATAAAATTCAGTGTGGAATAGTCTTATAAAATGAAAGTCATGTACAGGGGCGGACTGACAACACATGGGGCCCCCGGGCAATAGGGGATCATGGGGCCCCTGTGTCCTTGCCCACACCCAAAAAAAGCCTATAAAAGGTACCAGGGGCATTTCATGGGGCCCCCTACTGACACTGGGTCCTCGGGCAGTGTCCGAGTGCTCAAATGGTCAGTCCGCTCCTGGTTATGTAGATATAAAAAACAATTATTCTTAGAAAGAGCATTAAACAATAGAAGAAATATAAAAACGTCCTTAACTTGAGATGCACTGTGTACAGGAGGTCAGCAGGGCAGAGCACAGGGGATCCAGGAGGGAACAGTACAGGGGGACCAAGAGAGAACTGTATGGGGGGAGGGGGAGTTGGGGCAGGAGGAAAGAGTACGGGGGGGGGCAGTAGAGCAGTAGAGAACTGTACAGGGAAGCCAGGTGAAAATTGTACTGGGAGGGGGGAGCAGGGAAAAAAGGAGGGAACAGCATGGGGGGGTAGAAGAGCACAGGACAGTACACGGGAGCCAGGAGAGAACAGTATGGGGGGAGCAGGAGGGGACAGTATAGGGGGATGGAGAGAACAGTATAGGGGAGCTAGGAAGGAACAGTATAGTGGGGCCAGGAGGAAGCAGTATAGGTGGTCAGGCAGGAGCAGTTTAGGGGTGCCGGGAGCGAAAAGTATAGGGAGACCAGGACGGAACAGTATAGGGGGGGCAGTAGAGCACAGCACAGTACAGGGGGTCCAGGAGGAAACCGTACTGGAGGACACAATACTGGGGTCTGTAGTGATTTTCCTCATGCAGAGTAGCTCAGGAAAACATCTGGATATTATCTGGCACTTTCCTCCCAAATGATGTCACACATAGGCACCTGAGACAGACAGGAGGAGAGGACTGGCTGAGATCAGTGCAGGACAGTGATGCAAGTTGTTTCCCTCTGCAGCTCTGCAGCTTAACTGTCAGCTATGTGGGGATGCATTCTACCTGTCTTCTGCTTGTGTTGAATGGGCAGATCATGGCGGAAACCCTGGGGACCTCTTGTGGACCTCTAGAAGTTGGTCTCCCCATTTTACTGATAGGAGGAAAAGAAAAAACAATTTACTGACCAGACTAAAGGTAAACATTATGCTGTTGGTGGAGAACATTAATAGGATGTTTTAAAGGTTATAAAGATAAACTAACTTGTCAAATTTACCACCTTAACTGTCAATTAAGGCCTGAGAGGAGGCCAGAAATTATCATCTACAGCATCCCAACAATCACACAACTGTAGGAGGTACAAGATGGAGCCCACAAGCAAACTTTCTCCTGCAGTGCCCCTCTGGTGGCAGAAATGGAAATTTTTCCTGTCTGAGAACTGCATTGAGAAGTACAGTGTTACTTGAATTGTATTCCAGGTTTTGCTTTTCTTCATTTGAGAGAACTTTACATAAAGTCTCACAATCTTCATGTTATATATCTTGACTATCATGTCACTGATATATTATTTATCATTTTAAAAGAACATATTCCACACTTCTTTTTTATTTTTTTCCAATTTTTCCTGAAAAAAACAAAAATGGCTTTGGAAAGAATGGAAAAAATAACTTTTTTCCAATTTTTACTTTTTCTATCCCAGGCCTTCCCATCTCTAATCCCAACTCATAGAAGTGGACCATCTGTCCATTGCAGTCTGCCGTGGTGAAAGGAATGCTGGAGGTCCAATATCGTGCATTGGCAACCTGTTCAAAATGAATGGGTTTTCTTACTGCAACACCAATTACAATACTAAATAAAAAAAATATAAGTTTGTGCAGTAACATAAAAGTCTGTATTTGCCTTTAGATAGAACTAAACCCTTCAGGTGAGCTTCTCAACACATTTACAAAATTGCTTCCTTCCGGAGATTTAGGGAGGGGTTGTATTGTGAGAATACGCCTTAAAGTCATAGCAAGGCCAAAGCCAACCCAGCACTGCACAACTGAGAGAGGAGGCATCAAAGATAAATAAAAAGACTGCAATCATTGAGCACCTTTCATCGAGCTATGATCACTATATTACCAAATTATGTTCATATGTAAATTTGAGTTTCTAATTTCTTTCCAGTGCCACTCAAATAGGGACTCAATTAGAAGCAATAAATAGTTGTGCATGTTCCTTTCAAACTGGGAACTTATATCAGATGAATATCAAATGTTGAAAATTTTTATAAGGGATAAAATCATTCACATATTCAGCTGATTCTTTCTCCCCGCTGCATGTACTATGGACCATGTACAGTGGATATAAAAGTCTACACACCCCTGTTAAAATGTCAGGTTTCTGTGATGTAAACAAATGAGACAAAGATAAATCATTTCAGAACTTTTCCCACCTTTTAACGTAACCGATAAACTGTACAACTCAGTTGAACAACAAACTGAAATCTTTTAGGTGGAGGGAAATAAAAATAAAAAACTAAAATGATATGGTTGCATAAGTGTGCACACCCTTAAACTAATACTTTGTTGAAGCACCTTTTGATTTTATTACAGCACTCAGTCTGTTTGGGTATGAGTCTATCAGCATGGCACATCTTGACTTGCAAAAACACTCCAAATTTGTCAGATTGCAAGGACATCTCCTGTGCACAGCCCTCTTCAGATCACCCGACAGATTTTCAATCAGATTCAGGTCTGGGCTCTGGCTGGGCCATTCCAAAACTTTAATCTTCTGATGAAGCCATTCCTTTGTTGATTTGGATGTATGCTTTGGGTCATTGTCATGCTGAAAGATTAAGTTTCCCTTCATGTTCAGCTATCTACCAGAAGCCTGAAGTTTTTGTGCCAATATTGATTGGTATTTGAAACTGTTCATAATTCTCTCTAGCTTGACTAAGGCCCCAGTTCCAGCTGAAGGAAAACAGTCCCAAAGCATGATGCTGCCACCACCATGCTTCACTGTGGCTATGGTGTTCTTTTGGTGATGTGCAGTGTTGTTTTTGCGGCAAACATATCTTTAGAACTTATGGCCAAAAAGTTCAACCTTGGTTTCATCAGACCATAACACATTTTTTCCACATGCTTTTGAGAGACTTCAGATGTCTTTTTGCAAAATTTAGCCGGGCTTGGATGTTTTTCTTTGTAAGAAAAGGCTTCCATCTTGCCACTCTACCCCATAGCCCAGACATATGAGGAATACGGGAGATTGTTGTCACATGTACCACACAGCCAGTACTTGCCAGATATTCCTGCAGCTAATTTAATGTTGCTGTAGGCATCTTGGCAGCCTCCCAGACCAGTTTTCTTCTCGTCCTTTTATCAATTTTGGAGGGACGTCCAGTTCTTGGTAATGTCACTGTTGCGCCATATTTTCTCCACTTGATGATGACTGTCTTCACTGTGTTCCATGGTATATCTAATGCCTTGGAAATTCTTTTGTACCCTTCTCCTGACTGATACCTTTTAACAATGAGATCCCTCTGATGCTTTGGAAGCTCTCTGCGGACCATGGCTTTTGCTGTGGGATGCGACTAAGAAAATGTCAGGAAAGACCTACTAGAACAGCTAAACTTTATTTGGGGTTAATCAGAGGCACTTTAAATCATGGCAGGTGTTTACTGACTCCTATTTAACATGATTTTGAATGTGATTGCTTAACTCTGACCACAGCTACATCCCCAGTTATGCAACCATATTTTTTTTAGCTTTATGTTTACTCCCCCCCCCCTAAAATATTTTAGTTTGTGTTTCAATTGAGTTATACAGTTATAGGTCACATTAAAGGTGGAAAAAGTTCTGAAATGATTTATCTTAGTCTAATTTTTTTACATCACAGAAACCTGACATTTTAACCTCCCTAGTGGTATGATTATTTCAGATTTTTGGTGCTGAAAGCGGTACCATTATTTTGCATGGAAATATGTAGTTTTTTATTGTAGGCCTGTAATTTAGGAATAACTCACTGAAATCTGTACAAACAAAGAGTCTAGTAAACATTCCGGATATGATAAAACTTGAAACACGAAATCATAAATTATATTTTAATAAATAATCATAAAAAATAATAACATAATAATAATAAATTTAATTCAATAATATAATCAAACCAAAAACACTGAAATTTGAAATATAGCACCAAGTTCGCACATCGCTGAGCAAAGTCGCAGAATCGTTTTCAGTGTCTGATGATGAATTTCCCCCACGAATCATTATCACTCAATTCTGCAAGTGGTTCTGATTTACTATCGCTGTTCTCTAGCTGGTCTAAAACCTTTTTTGACATAAAGGGACGCTTTTTGGACGCCATGGACTTTTCTAAGTTTCAAGGCAGAAAGAACAGACAAAATGCAGGCAGGGCACAGGACAAAGCAGTAGGGACAGAATGTATGTGAAATGCTTTGAAACAGCAATGTTTTGCTATGTAATAATTGTTTTAAAAAAAATTCTTTTTTTTTAAATTTTCAAATTTGCCGCGGGTTCCGGCGCCCGTACGTCCCGACGTCACAGGGCCCGGATGCCGGCATCGGCCGCAGGAGATGGCCGGGGACGCTGCACGGGACGCATCGCGGGAGCGAAGAACAAGGTAAGCTCTGCAGGGTATCCCTGTGCAACGCTGCATAGTAAGCCCGAGTGTAGCTCGGGGTTACCGCTTTTGGTACTGAAACTCTACCCCGAGCTACACTCAGGAATACCGCCAGGGAGGTTAAGAGGGGTGTGTAGACTTTTTATATTCACTGTTAATCCAAATACAATGTCTGAACCTGATATTCAATGCTCAACTGTTTTTACTACACTGTGCCATAGATCTTTACTTTTTGGGGAGTTTTTGCTCCCCTTTTATGAATGCATGGTAACATCTTTGAGCACTTTGTAAGGTGTGAGGTACATGACACAGTGTAATGAAAACATCTGAGCTTGCTATAAAATAAAAGGGAGAAAAACTAAATAAACTTTACTGTTTGTGTGGTTTACTTTTATCCTGTTTGTAGGATCTCTCTGGAAAATCCAGTAACTACTGTGTGTTTTTGGTAATGCTTCTGACAATAGCAATGTTCATTTTCACCTAATTTATCATGGTGAAAGATGTGAGATGGACTCCTCTCTTTGAAGGTGGTACCTTCTCTCATGTAGGAAAGGTTCTTGCTTCTGAAGTGGCCGTAGGTTATATTAACTAGCCGATTACGGTGACTGGGCCAGAGTTAGGGTTTCTGACACCAGCGTATCATGCTGATTGCAGCAAGTCCAGAAACCACATGGCTGCCACAAGCAGGGTCCCTAATTGGATCTATAAAGCCAGAATGTATCATTTTGGATCCACATGCAGCTCGTATTGTGTATCAATAACTCTGGTTTCCCTATGACCATAGGGAGCAAGCAGTGTGGTGCTTCCAATATGGCATGACCCTTACTCCCTGATGATTTTACAGTCACCAGTTCTGGAGGGTTCTTTTGATGGCTTGACTGATTATCTTTTTTTGCAGCCACAGGCCTACAGGATCCTATCAGGTATTCATTAGCACCAAGTTGTTAAAGCAGAAAGCCAGGAAAACAAAACGTCTTCCCTTGCAGTGGAGCTGTGCCCACACTGCAAGAGATAACTGCTTGTTTACATCTAGGGAGATCGGCAGGTTTACACTTACTTGATCATCTGCTCCTGCAGGGTCCTCCATAGGGCTAAACCTGCCCCTGCAGCCTCTTCTCCCCTGCACTCCAGTGGTAGTTCTCTGAGGTCATCAGGGCCAATGCAAGGACCATAGGCCTGCATTGGATGTGAGGATGCCAAGGGACAGCCCACTACTGGAGTAAAGAGTAGTTCCATTTTTCAGGGGAGTGGAGTATCAGGTAAGGAGAGGTGCTCTTAATGTCCCCTAGACTAAAGCCCTGTACACATGATGAGAGTATTGGACAAATGATCGTACTTTTTTTTTTGCAAGGTAGTCTCCATATGGAAAATTAAGAGGTTACTGTGGCGGAACCGTTCCACATGGGCTTCCTCTTGCGGAGTGTCTGTGGCGTAGTCTCAGCCAATGGTCCCCTTTTCCAGCAAGTCTTCCAGCGCTCTGCCAAGGTGGGTATTAAAGCTCAAAGACAATCCTTTCCCGATATCCCAAACCACGAGTCGGAACTTTGTGTAGGGTGAATGAATGCATCGGTTTATTGAACACAACTCTACTTATACAGTACATGCTGGCAGTAATCCCTGCCCCCTCCACCCCCAACAGACAGTCTGGCACCTGGTTTCCCCACCCACACCCAAAACTCTACAGTACAATACAGCAGTAATCAGCACAGTATGAAATCTGGATAAGGCTGGCCATAGACGGGCTGTTTATCGGCCGATAAATGAAAAATCGGTCGTTGCCGTTGCCCATGCTGCCACCCATATCTACAAAAAACGGCCGTTTTTCATGGATTTTCCAGCATGACCGATAAAAATAAATGAGAAGATCCGCAAAAAACAGCCGACGGCATTGCCCCGCTAACGGCGTGAATTTCGACCTATTTTTCATGTGGACAAAAATTTGGCTGATAAATGACCCGTCTATGGCCTGCATTAGTGAAAGGCTACAAGTTCCCATTACCCAAGCAAACTGCAGAATGCCTGTCTACATAACAGCTGCTAAACATATACAGTTTTAAAAAAAGGTAGAACGGGAAGGCTACTTAACCTCCTCGGCGATATGATTCTTTCCGATTTTTGTGCTGAAAGCGGTACCATTTTTTTGCATGGAAATATGTAGTTTTTTATTGTAGGCTGTAATTTTTAGGAATAACTCACTGAAATCTGTACGAACAAGAGTCTAGTAAACATTCTGGATATGATAAAACTTGAAACACAAAATCATAAATTATAATTTAATAAATAATCATAAAAAAATAATAATATAATAATAATAAATTTAATTCAATAATATAATCAAACCAAAAACACTGAAATTTGAAATACAGAGGCAAATTTGCACATCGCTGAGCAAAGTCGCAAAATCGTTTTCAGTGTCTGATGACGAATTTCCCCACGAATCATTATCACTCAATTCTGCAAGTGGTTCTGATTTACTATCGCTGTTCTCTAGCTGGTCTAAAACCGCTTTTGACGTAAAGGGACGCTTTTTGGACGCCATGGACTTCTCTAAGTTTCCAGGCAGAAAGAACAGTCAAAATGCAGGCAGGGCACAGGACAAAGCAGTAGGGACAAAATATATGTGAAATGCATTGAAACAGCAATGACAGCAAAAATGAAATTTTTTAAAAATTTCAAATTTCCCGCCGGTTCAGGCGCCCGTATGTCCCGACGTCACAGGGACCGGAACACAGAAGTCGGATGCCGTCATGGGCCGGAGGAGATGGCCGGGGATGCTGCAGGGGACACATCGCGGGAGCGAAGGACAAGGTAAGTGCTGCAGGGACCCCCTGAGCAACGCACATGGTAAGCCCGAGTGTAGCTCAGGGTTACCGCTCTTGGTATTGAAATTTTACCCCGAGCTACACACGGGAAAACCACTAAGGAGGTTAACAAGGGGATAAAACTGGAATGGAAAGGGCAAAATGTTATCACAAAGGGACGGTTCTGCACAGTTATCGAAGTTCTGAAAATTCTTGTATGACAGAATAAAAATTTGCAAGTGATGTAATGTATTGTATTGTATTTTTGGACGAACATTGTACTGATTAAACGAAAATCGTACCATTTGGTATTGTACAAGAAAAATGTCATGCTTGTCCCTTCAGATCCGATCAGATTATCATACGATTGCTTCAAAAGAGGTATTTTTCATATGATTTTCTGACTGTGTGTATTAGGCTTAAAGGAGCATTTAACCCTTTTAGTGAAGGGTCAGCCCCACTGCAAGAGAGGACATTCATTTTTCCTGGAATTCAGCTTTAACTACTCAAATATCCAGGTTCCAAGCTGTATATTCTATTCTAAATTGTGAACATTTGTCCAGGCTGCTGAACACTGAATCACAAGCATATTTGTGATATCATCTCTCCTTCTATATCCAATGTTACAGATGGAATAAGCAGACACACATATGTCAGTTGGGTATGCATGTTTACTCACTTGTAGTCACTCCAGCACCGGCCTTATTTTGGGGTAACAACCACCATCAGCCATGCAAATGATACTTTCCCTGACATATTAACTGCAGAGGTGTCAGACTGGCCATTGACATATAGTAGTTTCACGATATGATCTTAATGTAGATGTTAACCCCAAATGAAAGACAGTTTGCTAAAGCACTGTGCAGTGTTGTCACCTGTTATTTATCTGCTAATAAAATACTTGTGTTCACTTTTTATGAGCTCTTGTTACATTTCAGTGCTACTGATCTCCTTCAGCCTCTTTGCAGCTACTTTCTATGTGTATGTACTTTGAAGATGGCTGCCTGGCATTGCTCTAGGTGGGTTTTCTGATCTGATCAGTGCACCATCATGTGTGTTGAAATGGCCACTTGTAGTCTCCATTAGAAGTCTGTGTTATAGGATGACAAAGGCAGGAGCACCGTATGGAGGCAAAGACAGAAAGTTGTCAACTTAAAACAGGAAGTGCATTGATAAGGACCTGGCAGGATCAGCAAGTATTATTTAAATGAAAGCTGCAGCTTTAGATTTGAAAAATGACATTTACATGTTTAAAGGCTCCATGCACTAGTGTTTTTTTTAAGCTCCTAGAAGCTGTTATCAGCATTTTTTTTCTGTTCCTAGAAGCTAAATAGCTTTAGGGCTTGTGTACACTGCAGCTGCTAAACATGTTTAGGAGCTGTTCTGCACTTTTTTCAGCAGCCCCTGAACTCTCCCTAATGTTTTCCTGTGTGTCCATGTACACATAGTCGTTTACAGTCGTTTACAGGCAATTGAGTTTACAGTCGTTTTTTTGAACGCACCAAACTTGTGTTCAGGAGTAGATTTTACCAGCATTTCAAATGCCAAACGCTTGTAAACGTAGTTAACCGTGTTTATAAGCGTTTGCGTTTAGAAGCGGTTTTTAACTGTTCCATATCCAGATGATGTCCAGAGCCTTTTTTTATCATGAGAAATGTATGCAAAGCATTTTCCATGTATTCAAATGGACCTAGAACACCAGCGCAGTCAGTTCCAGATTTCATGTGAAGGAAAAAATGGTAGAGCGCACCACATTATGCTCATGATGGGATCCATAGTGAATACAACCAGAAAAGACCGGTCATCTCAACACATACTGCTCTCTCTGCTTATGCTCTCTCTATTTCTCTCAAAATGTCTGAAATAGTTAATTATTTACTATTTTTCAGTGCATTCTGGGCAAATGAGAATGTCTCCTGAGGTTATCTTTTAAAAACGCTTCTAAACGCAAACGCACATAAACTCGGTATGCAAACGCGGCTAAACTGACGTTTTCTAACCTACGTTTTCCAGCAGTCAGTTTCCATCGTTCGGAAGAGTTTTCCAAATGCCCCGTGTACATGAGCCCTTATCCTATGTGTGCGGAGGGAAGCGCCTATGCATCTTAAATTTGTAAGTGTGTTTTTGCCATTATAATTTTTTAATAAAAGGTTTTATACTATGGAAGCTTCCCTCTTTTTGGCATATCCACTTATGGTCTGTACAATGGAGAATAATTGCATCTAAGATCGGAGAGACACGGTCACGTACAGTCCTTAACGCAGTGGAGTGGAGAGCATTACTAAAGTGTGCTGGACAAACGGGTCAAACACTGCGGTGAAAAATGGGGGAGCATGAGTGGAGGTACTGGCTGTTTTCATCACCCACAGTATAATGGAGCACAAGAAGTGTTTTTGGAGTATATTTGCTCATCACTATTTGATTTTTCTATATACACAAACACTTTATTGCCATATATTCACTGATTAGAGCATCACAGTTTGTTAATTTGGATTGAAGCATTATTATTCCATCATATGTATGTTATATGTTTTGAGCGTATAGCATTGTCGCTATTTTAGGGGGAGGTGCATTATAGTACCCGCCCAGTAATTTTGAGCATATAGTCATTGTTTCTTATTGTAAAGCGCTGAGCAAACTGTTGGCGCTATATAAATCCTGTATAATAATAATTGTTTCTACCTATAGGGGAGGTGCTTTATATCACCTGCCCAGCACATCTGTTTTGTAACATATATTTTTTTGTGCATGTCACTCATTATTTAAAGGAAAGGGGGGAGGTGTTTTGTAGCAAAGATTGGTCTCTCTTATGGGAGATAGGAACTAGATTGCATCTTTACACCAGGAGCACTTCAAGCACATATACAATCAGAAATGGTGTCCTGCTCCACTACCAATTGCAATAATAAAACAGTGAATAAATAGATATTAAATAAATAATACTCCATCATCAAAAGAATATATATCAATATCACTGCAATTATGTTACTGCTGCAAACATGTCCTTATTACATCCGTGACTTTGACACTTCTTCTAGTGCTGTGATACGAAATAATAACCGTGCAGTCCACCAATCATAAAAAATATTATACACCTTCACCTGCTCTCACCTGGTGTATATGACCAAACCGATAAGTGAGATCATATAAAGCTTGTGTCCCTTTAATTGGACTTAGTGGTATATGGACAGGATTATACCTCTTTCCTTGGGATGGATGGACAGAGTGTTTCCTCTTCCCAGCAGGCCAGCAGGGGGTCCTCTCGCTTCCTTATGGATTTTCCTGGAGCTGAAAGGATGGACGGAAATATCCCTCTTCCCACTAGGGGGTCTCCTTGCTTCCTTAGGGATTTTTCACCATAGGTGTAACAACGTATATTGCTTTAAGAGTTGTGACGTCAGAGCCCCTCCCCTACGCGTTACGCCACTGGGTCACGTGGCTTCATCAGGGGAAATTGATTTGAGCACATATGAATTGACTTCAAGCACATATGAATTATTTATGAGTGGGGAGTTGTGTCACAGCACTCAGCAACTCACACATTGCTTTACAAGTAGGAGCAGCACAACAGCTTTATTTCATTTTTTTTGATTCTACACATTCTGTCAGGGTGTGGTAGGTGTTAGCAGCTGCCCATTACTATTTGTGCAGATTCATCCCATACATCCTATATGTCCATGCACACTAATTTAGGCTAGTAGCGTTTTCTTCACAGAAAAAAAATGCTGAATGCTCCTAACAGCTTTTTTCTACCTTTTTTTCCGTAAAAACACTAAAAAATGCTAGGCTCCTAAACGCTACTACAAGCCAGTACAAAAAGTCTATTATCAACATTTTTCATCCAGCTTTTTTTTCTAGCGTTTTTTGAGCTTATACAAAACGCTAGTGTGCATGGATTTAAGAAATTTAAGTGATTGGGTTTACATATACTCTAGTCATCCTGTTAGAACAATCTAGCATTGTCCTTACTGTACGGCTCTTTTAATTTGCAGATTATACTTAGAGGAAGAACATATAAACAAGAGAAGCAATGTGTTTTTCTCCTTATTCTCCTCTTTTATCCAGATCAGAGCATTATGGTTGTTTCTGCTTCTTGTGTTTAATGTCCTTCCATGCCTGTAGGGGTTTATAAAATTGGTGGACTGCATTATACGTGTTTACATGTTCCAATAGCAGCTCAATAGGTTTCCACTATATGTTTGCGTCTGACACATACACCACTACAACTGTTTAAATCTGCTTCAACTTTCAAAGCCAAAAAGGCCAAATATTATGAAATAGCCTATAACGGAAACACAACTATTGTCTTTAACTTCTTTCAGCACGTGATAAAAGTTTGTCATGTTTTATATTCATTTCATAGTAGAATTTTCAGAATGATTATGATCCCTGTCATTCGAGACGTTCATTGGAACACAGTATCAAACAGCTGGCTGCCAGAATGGTCTTGCATGAATTCCCTGTAGTGAAAGACTGTAAAGAAAACAAAAATAGTACCATTTTGAATAGAAGACCTCTGATCCCATGATTTCATTATTACTCTTAGCCAAAGGGAACATTTGAATAAACATATGTTTGTCCGGAGCACAATGCCTATTAGCACATTTTTTGGGCTGCTCCACCAGTTGGTCTTCAGTGCTTACATAAATGCCAGGCTGGTTGTCAAGGACTCTGATTGCCCTTCCTTCCTCATTACACTGTTTTCACAGATGGAAATGCATATCTGTTTACGTTTATAGCCAACAATATTAAAGTCCTTAGTTCCACTACCAAAGGCATTGCGGTGCCCCAACTGCCAGCCAGAGTTTTTACAGAATTTTACCCCAGGTTTCCCCATATAATGCTCTACCAACTTTTTTTCCAGCCTGGCATCATTAGGCCTTGATGAAGGGGGCTCCTTGGAATCCCCCAAAATGTGTTAGATCTTTTTACACACTAACTGTAGCAAAAAAACTTTTTCTGGATTGTCATTCATACTTTAGCACTCTCTTTTTCTACAAACCTTGAGACATTACCCTAAGACACAGTTTCTCAACCAAGGTTCCATAGACCTTAGGGTTCCTCCAGTGGTTGCTACGAGTTCCTTGAGCACTGAGAAATTTCTCCCTCTCAGATAGGTTCCCACTGACATCACTGATGTTTT